AAAAAAAACCCCCCCCCCCCCCCCGGAAAAAAGATGATCTAATTTCATTTATTATTATTTAAATTTGCTATAGGGCTCTCACATTCAGCAGAGAGAGAGGAAGAAAAGTGAGAAAGCAAGCTGCCAGGTCTGGGACTCGAACCACTATTGGCCATGTGGGAGTCCATTGCCTTACCCACCACACTATCCGCCAGTCCCCTCTTTCTTTCTTTTCTAATTTTAGCTTTGCTATTGGGTGCATGCACTTGCAGGAGAGAGTAAATGAGAAATCACCCCTGGGGATAGGGGGTGGCCCGCTTCAGTCCTATCTCCTCCAGGGATTTTGGGCATGTACACACATGCACCCAGTGTGATGTTCAAGCCACCGGGTCCGGGACTCGATCCAGCACCCTAACCACCACCCTACCTGCTGGCTCAGGAATGCTTCACCCTATCAGACTGGATACTAGTGACAAGGCTGGCTGATGCCCTAGGACATTCCATTCCTTTTCTTGCTTAGAGTGGGGGCGTGAGCATGAGGGATCCTGAGCTCTGGGTACCCCTTGGCATGTACCTGGTTCTGGGTGAGAGAGGGGCAGCCCCCCAGTTAAGGAGAAGCCTCCGAAGGGATTAAAGGGCGTGGGTATTGTGCCCTGCCCCACCCTCACCTGGTGGGGGGGGGCTGCATCCTGGATCACCTCCCAACCCTGCCTTGTCTCCAATCAGGAGTTACCCCAAAGCCTTTGGGGGACACTGGGACAGAAAGGAGGCTTGGATGGCTCTTCTGGAGAGATGAGTGGGATGCTGAATCAGCTGGCGGCTGCGAAGCCTCCTTTCCTGGCTCAGCTTGTGCCCAGGGACAGGACGGAGGCTCCGGAGCATGAAGACAAAGACAGGGGTTGTAGGTTGGGGGAACGCGGAGACCGCGGGAGTGGGCTGGCCCAGGGACCCCCACTCTCTTCTCTCCCCTTCCAACGTGAGCAAGTGGCTGCCAGCCTGCAGGGTGACATCCCGCTGTGCCCCACGCCCGGTGGGATCTGCACCCGGCCTTCCATATCTGCAATGACAGCTTAGTCTACAAGAAAACTCGGACAGCGCGGGCCGGCAGCCGGAGCGCCCGGCAGCCCAGCCCCGTCCCAGCCTAGGTGTCACCCTGAGAGTTTTCCATCCTGGAACCTCCAGCCCTGGGCAGACCCCTCCCTCTCAGAGCCCTGGCTTCTTGGCTTTAGGCTCAAGCCCCTTTGGAAACTCAGGTGTCCCGGTGGCTCCCCCACCCCACCCTAGGGCTCAGGAGCCTTCGGAGTAACCACTCCCTGCCTCTGGGGCTCTGGTAACCAGAGCCAGCTCCAGCCGGCTTTTCCAGTTGCAGGTTGGAGGTGGCGCCCGGAGCACCCCTGGCGGGGGGGGGGGGCCCACACCCCGGAAGTCCTGGGCCTTGGGACACTGAGTGTCAGGCGGAGTGCGCCGGAGCTGGTGTCTCTCCTCGGACCTCTGCACCAAGGGTGGGAGGAAGATGCCTGGGGGCGGGGAGAAGGTCAGGGAGGCGGCGGGACAGCGGTCTCTCCTGAGTCCGGGAGGGCGGAGCCAGGTGGGGCAGGGGTGGGAGAGCCGTAGGGGAGGGGAGGCCAGGCTAAGAGGGGAATTGGGGTCTGGCAGGGTTTGGGCAGGGCCGAGAGCGCACTGGAGGTGCAGGCCTGGGTTGGGCTCCTCTGCCAGGCACCCCGGCCTGATGGTCTCTCTGCACCCGCTGTGTCCCCGACTCCTACAGGCAGGATGATCCCCGTGGCCGAGTTCAAGCAGTTCACGGAACAGCAGCCCGCGTTCAAGGTGCTCAAGCCCTGGTGGGACGTGCTGGCCGAGTACCTCACCGTGGCCATGCTCATGATCGGGGTCTTCGGCTGCACCCTCCAGGTGAGGGGCGGGGCCTGGGGCGGGGCCTGGGTGGGGCCGGGCCAGC